TCATGTACAGTACCTGGTGACTGAGAATGAGGGTCACTGTGGTCAAATCCAGCGTAAGCAGCTGGCTCTGATCCCTCATGTGCAGTACCTAGTGACTGAGAATGGGAGGCTCTGATCTCTCATGTGCAGTACCCGGTGACTGAGAATGGGGTCACTGTGGTAAAGTCCTGCGTAAAACAGCTGGTTCTGATCCCTCATGTGCAGTACATAGTGACTGATAATGGGGGTCACTGGGGTGAAGTCCTGCGTAAACTGCTGGTTGTAATCTCTCACGCGCCAGTACCTAGTGACTGATAATGGGGGTCACTGGGGTGAAGTCCTGCGTAAACAGCTGGTTCTGATATCTCATGTACAGTACCTAGAGACTGATAATGGGGGTCACTAAATTCAACATTCTGAAATTCCCCCATTTCCATATATTCTGGTTGTTTGCCTTGATTACTCTCTGCACCTCCATTTGTCGGACAATTATGTCCCATATTATCATCTGCCTCATAATTCCGTGTTCCAGTATGTGAGGTTGGCTGTCTACCAACACTGAAAACAAAGAGAGAAAAGTATATGCATTGAATATTAAGGCAAAAAAGAAAATATTTTATAGCTTTTTCAGTCCATGAGGACAATTCTTGAATAACATGCATGGTGATTAGTTTCCACAAAATTTCGTTACCGTGACGTTTTACAAAGCTAACAACAACCAAAATAAAACGGTATTTTATTTTAACCCTGACGGACGTACTCCAAAGTCATACCCCTTGACCGTACACAAGAGGGGGGAACTGGGAAGGGTGATGGAACACCTCCCTTGGATTTTTTGTTATTAAACGATACATCGAAAAAATCATTCCATTGGTACATTTTTTATTGGTAGTTTTGAGGTCATATGACGTAAAACGACCGTCAAAGACGTCATTTCATTCGCCATCTTGGATTTAACTACTTCCTCTATTGAAGTTTGAGCAACCTAGAATAAATCCTATTTTTAAAATTGTCACAAAAGCTCGTGCAGTACCCCCCCCCCCCCTCTCAACCCCACAAGGTGACGCCTGAAAAACGCCCTCAGTTATTCTGTGTTGTGTTGTGTTGTGTTGTGCTGTGCTGTGCTGTGCTGTGCTGTGCTGTGCTGTGCTGTGCTGTGCTGTGCTGTGCTGTGCTGTGCTGTGCTGTGCTGTGCTGTGCTGTGCTGTGCTGTGCTGTGCTGTGCTGTGCTGTGCTGTGCTGTGCTGTGCTGTGCTGTGCTGTGCTGTGCTGTGCTGTGCTGTGCTGTGCTGTGCTGTGCTGTGCTGTGCTGTGCTGTGGCTGTGCTGTGCTGTGCTGTGGCTGTGCTGTGCTGTGCTGTGCTGTGCTGTGCTGTACTGTTCTGATCTTTGATGTGCTGCACTGCACTCACTGTGCTGCGCTGGTGCTGTACTCTGCTGGTTGCACGATTTTTAAGCTTTAATTTTGTAGTTTATCTGAAAGTTTTATGCACTCTTCTATGTATTACTTACACACGGTGTTTCCACACGTAAAAGATGATGACACCAATCAGTGCAATAAGTATGATGAGTCCTACTGGAATGGCTATATAAAGAATCAGCTTGGAGTTAACTTGTTTTCCTGGGTTGGGCGTGGTGGGAATTCTGATAGGATTTTTCCTGCTAAAATCACACAAACAGAATTCAAATGAATTAAAAGCAAAGCTGAAAGCTGAAAGGTAAGATATATTTGAAACCGAAATAATAAAACTGATTCCACTTCTGAACATAAATCAGTCAATTATGAGAATCTCAATTAGAAAACAATAATCAATCAATCAATCAATCAATCAATCAACATATAATTATACCAGCATATAATTATTTATTTTTATTTTTATTTTGTGGCGTACCTGAAAACTAGCTGGTGCGTCCCTGCAGACTTTACTCGTCAAGTCTGTAGGACGCACCGTTGCCATAGATAAGTGTATTGACCACGTTAAATAAACTTACTTACTTAATCAATCAATCAATCAATCATCAATCAATCAATCAATCAATCAATCAAACCAACCAACCCGCCATGCAGCCAATAAGTCAGTTGAGTCAGCTGCCAGTCAGTCAGCCAGCCAGTGAGTCAGCCAGTCAGGCAGGCAGGCAGCCAGTCAGTCAGTCAGTCAGCCAGTCAGTCAGTCAGTCAATCAAACGATCAATCAGTCAGTTAGCCAGTCTGAGTCAATCAGTTAGTCAGTCAGCGAGCCAATCAGTCAGTCAGCCAGCCAGCCAGCCAGTCAGCCAGCCAGCCAGCCAGCCAGCCAGCCAGCCAGCCAGCCAGCCAGCCAGCCAGCCAGCCAGCCAGCAGCCAGCACAGCCAGCCAGCCAGCCAGCCAGCCAGCCAGCCAGCCAGCCAGCCAGCCAGCCAGCCAGCCAGCCAGCCAGCCAGCCAGCCAGCCAGTCAGTTGAGCCAGACAGACAGACAGACAGACAGACAGACAGACAGACAGACAGAAAGACAGACAGATAGGCAGGCAGGCAGGCAGGCAGGCAGGCAAGCAGGCAGGCAAGCAGTAAGTAAATCCGTTAGTTGAGTTCAAAATTATAACTTATGAATGCAGCCACTTCTAAGTACGTGCCACGATGATTAAAGCTACCCTTGATTTTACGCGGCGCATGATCATGGCTTGACGGTGCGTTTGATTTGACACGACACGTGATGGCGTGATGACGTGAAAGCAGGTACGAGGCTAGACGTCATAAGAACTGGCTACATCGTTTACGATTTTGAACAAATAGAAAAACTGTAAAAATGCTAGTTCCTTTGGGAAGACAATAAATACTTTTCAAGGTAAAGCGAATAATAAGTGAAAGGGACACTGTCCCGGTGTATTTGCTCAAAACAGTTATAAATGCACGAAGTGGTCCCTAATCTATGAAATAAGAACTTAATAAACTCTAACTAAATGATAAAAAGCAATTTCATCAAGAAATTCCATACTGCAACAAAATGTTTGCAAAATTTCAAAGATTTCCGTGCCAAACTTGAAACGTTGAAAAACTGACATCCTGACGTTTTTTCAAAAATCCATATTGCAATCCGTTTCCATCCTTGCTGTCGTTAGTCATCCTCACTTCCTAATGGGTTCCTGCCATTTGTCGAGTGCTATTCTACAGAATCAAACCATTATTGTTCAACTTCCTATGATCTAGATATGTTTCAGAGCTTCCATCCCAAAATCATGCTAAAATGAGGACAGTGTCCTATAAATGATTGTATATTATTATTCTGTGTACAGCACGCATAAATTAAATTTACACAAAAAAGCTTTTTTCATCCCTGCATAAAATTCTGACGCGCAAATTTCTGTTAATGGTTTGCTAGGTTTTTTTTTCTAAACCTGTTTAGCTGGTGTAAACATGTTATAAAAATTTGGTTTGAACGGATATAGCACTAACATGGGAGCTGCCGGGAACTGTCATACATCACCAGTCCCCTTGGTCTATCAGGGCCAGGAAAGAGCACAACTGGGGTAAATGCTCCATTCGAGGCGTTTCAGTTTAAGAACCCAGGAGCTCCATACGACGGATCAGAGACGAATAAATACGAAGAGAAGAAAGTCACTCCATACAAGCTGTACGATGAGCCCCGATAAAGTACCTTTCTGTTGTTTCCATTATAATCGACATATTCTACATATCCAGAACCATAATCTACCCAGAAAACAAGTTTATTTTGTCTATCAAGGTCAATAAAAAACGTCACACCATGAGACGCTGCCAAGGTAACAATCTGGGTACCGAGAATAGTTGATTTCTTGATTCGTCTCCTGTGGTATTCCGTCCAGAACATTAAGCTGTTGATGAAGAAAAACTCATATTGAGACTACTGGTAAAGTCTTAGATCGGTCGAGAAATGGGAGCGGAAGTTGGTCAAATGGAGATTACGCTATTAATTACTTGAGGCGACGTCAGTGTCACGTCGTCTTGTTGTAGGCCGGGTGGGGGTGTGCGGTACGCTTCTTGAAACCCTTACCCTATTTCAGACCAAAATATGTGATTTCCTCTACCTTTTCAGACCTGACCCATTTTCGGGAAAATTCCCCCCCCCCCCCCCTAAGTTTTAAAGTGAAAATGACAATAATCTATACCCTATTTCAAGACCAGTAGGCAAAACATACGCTATTTCAGATAAAATGGTCAAAATCTATATCCTATTTCAGACCAAACCGGCTTAAAAACCATACCCTTTGGCGCCGCACATACCTATATAGCTTATATATGGGAGTACCCCCCCCCCCCCCCCGCCGGTGTCACTGATCATATAACACTCTCGTGCTAGATTAGGAGATGTTACTCATAATCTTTGAGCATTGAGCATTGTCTGAGTATGGAAATAACTAATTCGCTCTCAATTTCAATGATGCTGTGATCATATCTTCCTCCGAAACTGCGGAAGCGAGAAGAAACCACCATTTTGTAGACGACCTCCAGCCACTGCAAACTTATGGCTGATAGTATACTAGCAGCTCAGCCAATCGGGTTGTCTCATTTGCATTAGTATACTAGTATATTTTTACTAATACAAGATATGTTCTGGGAAATTTAGGTCATGTACTGTATGGCCAACTTATGATTTTTTACTACGATTTATTAACTCACCCACGTTCAGGATCGAGAACAATTCCTGCTGGATCGTCAAGGCTTGAAGAAGTCTGTAGAACACGTTTGTTGTTGCCATCCAAGTCTGATACAGATACCATACGTGCTATGTGATCGATCCAATATTCCGAACTTATATATATGACTGATAACTGAGATCATGTATCAGACACGTGTACTAATTCATAAAAATAAAAATAATAACTTCGTTGGCTATACACAATTACTGGTAAACCGGTAGTTTACATTTTGGGCCACATAAATACAGAAACAAATATTGTAAATGAACATAACATGGTTAAGAATCCCAACTGGCAGGAGGCAGACCAGTTGGCTATTTTACAAGCGTGACCGAGGAGTTGAACTCGGGACTACCGATAATAAATCCAGCTAGTGGCAGGATGGAGGGCTTGAATCCGGGACCTCCGGATTACAAGACCAGCGCCCTAAAACAACTCGGCCACACTGCCTCCGTGTGGACGGCTGGAGGACGGCTGAAATAAGGTATCGAAAGTTTTAGGTATTATATTATATTTTTGGTATTTTAAGGCGTTCTGTTTTTAAGGTATATATTGTATGTAGAGCTGAGCTTGGAAGATTCCTCTAGATATGGCTATCAGTCAGAAAATCATTAATTACACATTATATATTCAAAATAAGGACAATGCCTCAATCGGATAAACATATACAGCCGTTTCGAGAAAGGTTGTCGGAAAAAAGCGCATGCGACAATCCCGAAAGGTACTGTGGGTAGTCTTAAGTGCACGGTTCCTTGACTTCAGTATTTCAGGAAAATCTGAGAAAATGGCACGAGACGCCATGGAAGTTTGTTTGCGAGTGCTAAAAGAAAGCAACAAAAGTAGGTTCGACAGCTACAGTGTCAGGAACGTACATTGCTGATCATATCCCAGATTACTTTTCGGGATTGTCGCGTTCACTTTTTTCCGACAACCTTTCTCGAAACAGCTGTATTTTCAATGTCGACCGACCTTTCGCATTCCTCTGGAAAAATAGTTTCTACTCCAATCTTATGAGGATGACTGAATTCTATAATTTGCCTGATTTTGACCCTATTTTCTTAACTGACGCTAACATAAAAAATCAAAGGCTCTGATGAGCCAGCTCAGAATGTAATTGATATTAATGACATTCATCGAATGCAGTTGTTGGCCCTTCCCAGTGAAAACCCTTGAATTGGAGGCTTGATAAATAGGGATTCCACTGTATTTATATTGGGCAACAGCCCAAATCTGACAAAAGGGAATTATTTTGAAGCTCAAATGCGTCTATAGGTTCCACTATTGCATACCAAAACACAATAACTTTGAAATAATTATTGATTAGTATTATTTTTAATTTCTGGTTTGACTCTGGTATTTACTCTGGCATTTAGGAGGGGGGAGGCTGGGCATATAAGGGGCATTTGACCTCCATTGCTGTCCCCACCCTCTGGAATTTGACATGCTAATCAATGATTCATAAATACTTTTATACTTATAGGGACATAATTTAGTCTGCGGTCTGCATTTGTCGCACACCGTATAATTTGCCAAAGGTGGGGGAGTTTGATCCGATTTGAAATGCAAGTGCAAGTAGAACAATCAAAATGTTTTAATATTTGTGCTTCTCAGTTTACATGTAATATGGACACTTGCACTTGTATGCCAAGTAAAAACCAGGCTTTAGATGTGAAGGTGCATGTAGGCTTCTTAGTACAAATATTATCTACAATTCATAAGTATATGTAACAGAGGTAATGAATGTTTTGTGTTTATAGACTGATTTAGATAGGGACTTTATTCATACAATATTTAACAAATAAAGAAGCCAAAACCATGTATTATACTGTCATAAAACACGACGGGAATTTGAGAACACGAGAGAAATTTAGAAAACACGAGCGCAGGCGAGTGTTTTCTATATTTCTCAATTAAGTGTTCTCAAATTCCCGGAGTGTTTTATGACAGTATAATACATGGTTTTGGCTTCTTTATGTGCTTTAAAATATAGATTTACGCGCGCGAAACGATAAAACACGCTTTTTCTATGATTAATACTCTGATAAAACATGGTTTTTAACCAATCAGAGCGCGCAAAATTTTCAGTCTATATTTTAAAACTTAATACAACTATAGTAGAAAAATCCATCAAAGAAATTTAAAATGATATGTTCTATTATAAACACAAGCCTCAGATCGATGAAGCCTGCTTTTCTCCACGAAAACTATGAATAAACTTAAGGTCTACACAATAACAAGCAAAAAGGTTTTGCAGCCAAAATATTTAAGCTTATTCAAATACCTTACATTTTATTTGTTTTCGGTTCAAAGCCTATCGATCGATCGATGATCGATCGATCGATCGAATTGTATATTTAAATTTATATTGAAATTGGAATCAAAAGATTAGTTCAGTTAAACAATAAGCAATAAGCTTAATTCATTTTTGCTATAAATCAAACTTAGAAATATAAACATTTACCGTACATCGATATTTTCAATGAAAACGCCAAAGATCAGTTGAACGCTTCCTCTTTTTCGGCAATGTAGTTTGCCTAAAATATTCCCTGCTGGAACCGTCCTGTTCCCGGTGCTTCGTTGAAGTTGTATAAACCCCTTGATTCATCTCCAAATGTGTCGATGTACTACGAAAAGAAACATGATGTAAATTCGTGAAAGAAGGATTTCTCAAACCGAGGAACGAAAGAATTGCAGAATTTATGCGTTGTTGGCATCGGAACTCCTAAAAGGTCTATCTTATAAATGTGTAAGACGAGAAAATTAAGAGAAATACCGTCTTGAAAAATCGTAAGCAATCCGCCATTTTGTTTCGTTGTGCGATCGGGCTACTACCCCCGACCCACCCGACCCCCAATGACTACCAAATATTGCGCCCGCAATGTTGTTTAGTGTTGTGATTTCCCATGCATTATGCCCTGGTCAGCGGAATTACCAAGAAAAGTTTACACCTATAAACTAACACATTTTCCCCAACCATAACAATCAGCTCATTCTTCGCTAAAAACTATGCAAGTTTAATGCAACAAAAATACACCTAATTGCAATAACGTTGTCATATCAAAAAGATTTCAGGATAAAAATTAGCGAGAAAAGTTTAACACAACGTTTCGATGTCGCCATGACATCATTTTCAAGTGACAAAATAAAAAATTCAAACTGTCTTAGTATATACAGTGTGAGGTGGTAGAACATAACAATAAGTAACGTAATTAGCATTGTGCATGGTAAATATGTCTAAAGAAATAGTTTTGCGCGGATGGAGTCCGATTGCGTGTTCAGGTTGGGCTTCTTCTCCTTTATGAACAACATCTCATAAATTAAACAGTCCAGTTTTCCGTTGCATTTCTTGAGGACGGAAAAGTTACTAGTAAGGTCGCCAATGGTTTTAATGCCGTGGTCGTTCTTTAAAATGCTTCCAATTGCTGAATGCCGGTGTTCGTCAATACGTTGGTGTAAATGCCGGCCAGTGTAGCCGACATACTCTACATCGCACAGATCACATTGATAATTGTACACTACGCATTGTTGGTTAATTAAAGGTGGTTTTGGTTCACGCATCTTAAGGTCTTCACAAATTTTGCGGCTCGTAAACACTTTTTGAAGAGTGTGATCGATTTTCTTGCTCAGGTCGGATAGTAAGCATGCAAAAAAGCAAAAAGCCAAATAGGAATTAATTAGCATATAATCATCCTAACTTGCAACATTCACAACACGCACGTTTATAGCTGTATATTGTAAAATCGTGCAATTGAGATAAATCATTTGCATCGGTTTCTTGGTGTCATTTTGATGCAATTCGAGGCTGATTCATGAATTATTAGCGAATTTCAAATGCTGGAATGTAGATCTGACATGGCTAATTAATTCCTATTTGTCTTTTCGCTTTTTGCTTTTTGATATGACAACGTTATTGCAATTAGGTGTATGTCCTACAGTTAGCAACATACTCTTCAGCACCGTCTAAAAACTAGAATTTTATAACTTCTTAAGTACGAATATACCGTCCATCTTATTATTTAGACCGTACAAGGAAATCGAATGAAAGGAAACCCTTAGTGAAAGTTCGAATCTGAGATAGTCAAACTAATTATTGATATTGGTAGAGATGATCAAACCCAAGGATAATAGGCTCTGTCCTAATGAATTTGAAGATGAAATTCACTTCCTTTTCTACTGTCCTAAATTACTCAATAGACCATTTTACAGTTCTGTGAAATGTAACCAAGCCTCTGTATGAAAGCGAGGTTAGGGGTGACCATGAAATGATATAGATCATAAACTACTTTACATAATAACAGAATAATTTACATTTGTTAAGAAGGAAAGTTTGTTATCACAACAAAGTCACCTCCAGCCTCACTTCTGTTCAAAGGCTACCAAAGAATATCATGCCTTGATTTACGCAACATTCATTCTATTCTTGGTTTGCAACTGACGTCATCGCCGCCATGTTGGATGACCATTAACAAAATCATTATACTTAGCTTTATTGTTCCTGTCATCCAACATGGCCGCCAGGGTCTTTGTCATTTAAATCTCTCGGGAATGGTTGCAAACCAGTTACGTCACCTATTGTTATTAATGTGCCAACCAGAGAACTATTGGCTGTTGAAACAAATAGTTTTTTGTTTAATGATTGCCAAATTTGAATAACAAAACAAATTTGACGTAATGTTGATCAACAGTGAACACTATCTCAATTACATTATTGTTATTTCTTGTTGCTGTACTGTTCGAATTTATGGTCATGCAAATAAAGCTACTTGTTGTTGTTGTATTTAAAAATATGTGGGCTGTAGCCAGGCATAGTTAAAAATGTATATAAAATGTTGACACTGGCTTAAAAATAGGTACGCAACGCGTACATGTGTGTACTGCAAGGTTTTCCCTAGGTTGATTTATCATTTGGGAAGTGGTAAAGTCTTTGTCACTAAATATGATTTACTCAAAATACACTAGCCAGCTTGGAAAGGATGGTGGGGATAGAAGGGAAGAAACTGGGAAGGGTGTATACAAATAAAATTCACATCATAACAAACTGTGTTAATTTTACTTGCCAGATAAATTTATTATTTATCTAATCTTGATAAATATGAAGAATGTAATTTACAGAAACAGAGTTGTAAGACTTGAAGAATGTGAATTGAACTGTATTGATAATTGATGATTTTTTTTTCAAAACTAATCAGTTATGTTAAGCTTGAAGAAAAAAGTATCAATTCATTATTTTGAGATAGTGACTGACTTCACAAGCCAAGTTAAAACCAAAAAGAACAAAGTAATGTTAAATTAAAGTGTGGAGACTACTTGATCAGAGGGACTCCAACATGGCGTTTCCATACTGAGCTCTATAAATTTGTGTGGAACATTTTGACAGGAGTAACTTCCCGGGCCTGTAATTCGATATTACATACGGTGGAAGAAAAATACAAAATGAATTTGTAATCAAT